CCTAGCATCGTTCTAGTCAAAACTATCCTTGTGGAACATGAAATGGAGAACATATTATGCACACGTACTTTTTATGTAACGGAGACAAGACTACACTTTCAGACCAGATGGTTCTATGACGGAGAAGTTGTACACACCAAGATGAAGGGTAAGCAGTTCCCGATTATCAGCAATTCTGCGACAACTGGACACAATTACAGGGATATACTGCAGTGTGGTTATTGGTACAATTCATGGCGATACTGTCAAAACTGGGCTTACGTGGTGTTATCAAGGGTGCGAACCATGAGTGGTTTGTTCTTATTGAAGAAGCTGGATTGGGATCCAAAGAACTTTGCCATGCCACAACGAATGAGAGACATGCTTGCAAGATTTAAGGATACTATTGGGCTTTCTGTCCTAGGAGAAGATCAATACGATGAAATGTTCCAGCGAGAAGACGGGTTCTTGTTATAAGTATAAACGGTAGGGATATAGGGTAAATTAATCTATATATAAAAACTTTTATTACTACAACTACCTTTCTGAATTCGCATTGCACCTCGTACGTCATTCATTATGTCAGTCATTGAAAAAGATCAAGCGTCCAATCAAATCAACAGGCGACCCCGAAAAATTAGGAGCCAACTTTTAAAATGTGAAGAACGCAAGGCGACTTTCATGTGCATGTACATGCGTTGACTGTATCCCGTCAATACAATACTAGTCGAATACGTAGACTTCTACAGGGCCTTCTAAGTAATGCGCGCCGGGTATAATTCAAACCTCTGCCCCCATCGGTACCATTACCCCTAAAGCAAATCGTCTCCAGGAGACGAAATATTATCGCTTTCCCCCAACCCCAAAGTGCTGGCTTTACTAGTAACCCCCCTAAAAGTTACTAAACGTGCTCTAATATAACCCCCTTTAAACCTGTTAGACTCAGCGACCATTTCTTTAGTTAGATAAACCCTGGAGGTGCATAGCGTTGGGGTCCTTGGTTGGAGTTTAGATTGAGCATGTTCTGGCCAGTGCGCAAAATGTTGATGGGCCTCAAGTTTCGATTGAATATATCGCCATAGCTCCCCACTTCCAAAATGGCATCTCGAAACATCCGCTTGTACTGGTTACCAAACAGGAGGACCTCTGGCATCCTGTAGGATGTTTCTTGACCAATATCGTGCTCCTCCGCAAAGATTAAAGCAGTGACAATCCAGTGCACCCATGCAGACAAGTCATGGGCATCTTGATTGGTGGCCATGCAGAGATTGCTGCTGTTGTTGTTTGCAGAACCATTATAAAAGTAGGGCACAGAAAAGGAAGAGCCTAGTCCTGTCGTTGGTTCCTTGACACGGTTCTGATTACTGCTTGTCACTCCAGCCAAAACATCTATTGCACCACTTGCCAGGAGAGCAAAGCCATCTTGGGGTTCCTTCACCTCTATGAACTGTATATTGTTGGGCCCGCCTTGAAACAATGAAGTGGATAGAGCTCTGCAGAGATCAATCTCAAATCCCTTGTAAGCCACAGATGAAACATTACGAGTATTCAGTTTGGAAGCAAAACCAGCCCTTTTTGCATTGGCACTAATGCCACAGCGAACACTCCCTCTATCCACAATTGATTGGAGATCATCACCCAGTGGAATATTGTCTTCCTCTCTCGCATTCTCCCCAATTGCACCAAATGGGTGTGCAAAGAGTAATCCTGTGGTTCCTTGATTGATCTGGTTGATTGTGGCCCGAGGAATACCTCTGGCCAAATGGCGATTGTAGATCTCACCATAGTTTCCCACAGCAGCAATGGCATTTTGAAACATGTATTGATACTCAATGCCAAAGACTTGCATTGTGGGAAACAAGTGTGCAGATGCCTGAGTGATGTTGTGTAGCTCTGCCACATTGAGGGAATCCACAATGGCAGCCACAAAGGCTGAGAATTTTGGATCGTCTTCTCTGGTAACAAGGCCCATAGGCTCTTTGGAAAAGTAGCGTTCACTCAGCACATAGCTCCCATTCTATCCAGCAGCTGCCATCTCCTCTGCACTCAAGGCAACGAAACTTCCCGTAGCAATGACATTGCAGGCAGCATTGAAAAACACATTTTCAATATCGCCCACAGTTGCCACTTCAACAATAAATTTTCTTGGCAGGAAAGCTTCCAGTATACTTGTATAGGTTGTGCCCTGTCCAACACAAATCTTCAAGCTCTGACACTCATCGAGATGTCTGAAGTTGTCTTCTACACAGCCAACATGGAAGGGATCACCAGCAATTACCATTCCTGTCTGTAGACAAGGAGGGGTAAAGGACAAGCCAGTCTTGACTTGAGTCTGGAGTACATCCCGTTCCATGGTATGTGTGTAAAAAGAGCTGTACAAGTCCACTTGCCCTTCCACAAGCGGTGCAAACAGAGAGCTTCGATTTTTGTATTCTTGAAAGTCCATCTTGTCCTTAGCAGTCTCTGGTCCAAAGATGGCAGCTGCCACTGCAAGGCACTATTTCAAGACACACAAATGGATGGGATAGCAATTTTGTGAGGATACCATTTTCAATGGGCTCAAGCAACTCCATACCAGACGAAAAAGAGTTTGCACTTACAAGGCTGTAGCTGAATCCAGCAATATCCGCTATGATATTGGGAACATGACGATATTCACATCGTAAGATACCTTCCTGTTTGATTCGTTGGAGAGTTGGAAGGGTGCCGTTTGCATTTTCATTGTTTCCCCCGAGAGCAATCTGCGGTGGTTCTACCTTGTTTCCATCCAATATTCCTAGGAGTCCCAAGACAAGAGCTAAAATAATGGCCAGCATGACCACCACAGCCAATGCAAACAAAGCTGCAATCGTGCGTCTCTTTTGGCCGTCATCATCGCGAACGGCTGTGGCAAGCTGAACCGTTGCTCCGTGGCACGATGCATCTTGGAGCGTCCTGGGGTGCTGTGCGGTAACTACAAGGGTTGCCTGCAGTGGTGGCGGCAATTCGCTACTAGCAGGAGAATCCTGCGGTTCCGCTTCGGTATCACCACCAATAGAGCTGTCCTCCACCATGGGATAGAGCTGTCCTCCACCATGGGACGAGCGAAACCCGTACTCACTGCATAAGCCCCCGGCAGTCCCGTCGGTTGCCGTGCCGAGGGTAAGGGCATGGGCGCTGGCATCAGGGGCATCGGCAAGGTGACATCCAATGGTGATTCCAAAGTTGTCTTTGCCTTGGCTTTGAGCTTGTCGTCGCTGTGAGGAGTTTGTTTCTCTACAATCGCTGCACTCGACGTATTGCACTCTACAGGTGGCAGCAACGAGTCTAACGACTCCTCCATGTTGCTCGCAGCCTGGGAATCCACGGCGTTGGCATTTTCACTGCAACTGTTCTCGCAATAGTATCTACCACTCATAATGCCATGGCTGTTGACATTCGTTACGTTGTACCGATGTATGGATACCAAAGAGGATCCCAGGTTTGTAGGATTTTACAGTAGTAAACAGAATTCGTCAGGGTGGCTTTGGCTGATGGTGGCTTGTGAGCGGGGTAATAGGGGCGCCACTTTCCATGAAGAAGGCAAGGTGATGAGTGTGGTGGGCCTGTTGGGTTTTGGAAAGGCAGGAGCCAGAAGCCTGAACCCTAAGAATGGAATTCTAGAATTCTCACCATCTCAACCTCCAGCGTCATTTCATTGGAAGGTGGCCAGGAAGAGGATGCAACCACTACCAATCGTTCAGGCAAGCTCACCTATGCAATTGCTGCTGTTGGTGGGTTTTGTCATCATGATCATTCTTTGTGCACTATTGAACTGCTGGATTGAGCGAAGGAGAGAACACAGCTTTCGGCAGAAATTGTCATCACGAGAATGATTTTCCTCCTACCGTACGTGAACCAGAACAGTTGGATGAAGCTGTGTATCAATGACACATGGCTCTTTCCAACAGATCCTTTCAACACTGCTTCGTGTTACCTTTTTTGGTTTGATTTCATGCCACCTTCAAGCACTTTGGCTGGCTCGTCTTTTCCCCGTACGATGTACACAAAAGGAGTCTCTGAGTTCTCTGTGTCGGCTGCACGATCCGGGATATTTCCCGGCATTTTTTCCGGCGCAAAATTGACGAGGACCATTTATTATCGTAAAAGCACTGCTCTGAACTTTTGGCTTTGGATATACTATACCGCATTTATAGCATGATTTTAAAACAGAGACAGAACGTACATTGCTATGTAAGAAACACAAAAAGAGGCTGTGCCAGCACGCCTCGAAAGAAACAGAGAGGATGTGGGGTTATCCCACGATTTTTGCCGGCATTGGATCGAAAGGATCAAGGGGTACTCGTCCACAACGGTGCTGCCAGTAGCTTTTTAATTAAGCTTCGCAGTCGGGGAAAAAAGACGCCTTGAAGGCTCTTCGTTTGAAGCAAGTGGCCAAACATTGTTCCTTGTTGTGTTCCATATCATATCCCATGCCAATGGCACCATCCTTGTCGACATCACACTTTTGCATCATTTTGTCAACGCTGCCCAGGATCTGCAAAATACCACGACCCCACCATGGCAGCTTGTCGATGGCTGTCTGGAGTTCGGATCGTTCCAGGAGGCCATTTTTGTTGGTATCCAAGTATTCACCAGCACATTTGATAACAAGCTTTCGAGAGGGGCAGTTGGGTGTATTTTCTTCTTCCTCATCGGTTGCCGTTTTAGTGGTTTCTGGGGTGGCCTCTTCTGCTGCTGGGGTCTCTTCTTCGACAACAGGTTCTTCCTCCACAGGTGCTGGTTCTTCTTCCACTGGAGCTTCCTCCTCTACGGGTGCCGGCTCTTCTTCTACTGGTTCTTCCTCCACAGGTGCTGGTTCTTCTTCCACTGGAGCTTCTTCCTCCACGGGTGCAGGTTCCTCTTCTACAGGAGCTTCCTCCTCTACTGCAGGTTCCTCTTCTACAGGAGCTTCCTCTTCTACGGGTGCTTCCTCGGCAGCTGGTGGTTCCTCCTCCTCGGTTGTTTCTTCAGTTACTTCATCGGTAACTGCCTCTACTTCCTCCTCAGCAGCTGGTTCTTCCTCTGCTGGGGGTGCTTCATCGGTGGTTGTCGTCTCTTCTTCGGCAGGTTCGGCCGGTTCTTCTGGCTCGGCGGGAGCTTCTTCTTCCACAGCTGGTTCCGGCTCGGCTTCTTCCTCTGCAACGGCATCCGGATTGATACATTCTCCATCCTCATTGGTCACGCATTCTCCTTCTTCGGATGCAACGGCGGCAAACCGAGCGGTATCCATGCAGCACATGGCCACGGCCATGGCCAGGAGTGCCAAGAGTGCAAATCGTACTGTTCGGCGGCAGATCATTCTGGATAATATTTATTTGTCTTTCTTAGTGCTTGCTTGGCGGGCTAGTAGTAGAGTACCGAGCTCATGTAGGTGACGATGAGGAGAGGCTCGGTTTGTGTCTACGCAGGGTTACTAAAAGGGCTGCAAATAGGATTCTGTTCTTGGGATTTATGCTTCCTCATCGCTCATGGTGGCCTTTGCATTGTTCTTGTTGAAGTTTTGTCATCTTGATTGGTCGTTGGAGGGAGGGGTACGTCATTCACCCCTTTTTTGAAAGTTCGCCCCTCTTCTTCAAAACAGGGGTTCTTCTTCGAAGATCCGTGCGAATTATTCGATTCGATTGAATTCAATCATTCAAATTATTCGATGGATCTTTACTTCGGTACACGTAGCCATACCTGGTACCGATTGTCTCCAACAGATCCTCCCCACTGACCAGAAGACAACAAACCATCAAACCATCATCTATCTCAAGCAAGTAGACAGGGTATCCAAAAAAAAAATCAGAAGACAATGGATCCACCAGAGGATGACAACCAGCTCAAGATATACATCCACAACACATCCAAACACCAGGGAGGAGACACTGGTAGGTGGTTGTGGCGAGTTTACCTGGAACTCAACAAGACTGCATACAGCATCCGGCAGGAGACCACCATTGTGCGAGCCACCATGCATCTTCACGAAACGTTCCCTGAGCCCATTGTGGATTTGCAAAGACAACGAAAAGACAAGAATTCCTTTCAATCCGATGAGTACACTGGATGGGGAACATTCAAGGTTCTCTTTGATATTCAATTGGTAGAACGAGACAAGATATCTGGCTTGATCCGAACTTGTACGGTTCGATTGAGCCACGAGCTCGAATTTACGCGATGGCCATTCGGGACTTTTGTGTCTTTGGAGACCAAGGAATTGGCGTTGATGCCATATTTTCCCAGCCGAAATCGCGACCCATATGTTTCGGTGGTGGTGGAGGAATACCTATCCAAACCAACGCCAGGCGACGCCATACCGGCGTACATGTGTGGTATCTCATACCAACAGCTCTTGGATCTGGACAGTACGGTAAAATCCACCTTTGGAGAAGAAGAATACCCCACTAAAACAATGAGAGATGTTTGCAAAGTCATCATCGAACCCATCTGCAACAAAACCAACAAGTCGTATGCACTCAGTATCAACAAGGATGGGCTTCTTGTGAATGCATTTACCTCACATTCATGGGACGGTTATTTTGTTGACTTTGTTCAAGCAATCAAAGAGGTGTATCAATGTACAAAGCCAAACCTTTGGGTGTGTGCATTCGCTCTTTTGCAAGGAGGTGAGGACAAGAAGCATTTGGTCAGCCAGCAGCTGGGAACCTCTTCGAATTTGCCCTTGGAGAACACACCCTTTGTGGTGGCACTGGAGGCGGCAACGGCACTCTGTGTGGTGCGCAATTCCAGAGTGGATGTCTATAGTCGGATCTGGTGTGTCTGCGAACTGATGTACGCCAAAACGTTTAATCTGTACCCGGATCACACCGTTATCACGGGACCCAATGCATTTGCGGAGTGCGAGCAAACTACGGTTCTGGATGCGAAAGCGTCTCGACTCGAGGACCGCGACAGAATCTTGAAGGTTTTGCTGAATGAGCACGATCGAGCCGAGATTGATCGAATCGTTCATAGACTGAGAACACTCACAGACAGAGAAGATGATAGGCTCCTTCTTCGCGAATCCATGGGAAGAGACCCGTGACGATCGATACGTCTCCTTGTGGAGTTTTTGACTGGGATGCCAAAGAACAAGGGATCAGGGATTGGCAGGAGACTAATGCATGCAACAAAACAAATGGAAGCAATACATCAGCGGGGGCAGTGCTTCGGGGCGACAAGTTTCAATAGAGCGAACTAAACTTTTTTAATTCACAAAAAGAGCATTGGTCTACAACGTTGGCAGCGATGCAAACAAGCAACACTGTATGTAATAATAGATCAAAGAAGCTGTATGTTGCGGAGGCTCACAACCACGATCGGCGCTCGGGCGTCATTATCTTCGTGGAAGAGGAATCGAAAATGTGTCCCGTTGGCTGGGGTACCAAGGTAATAGGTGCGTTCTTCACAGCCATGCCACAAAGTTTCGCAACACCGCGAGTCAACAGTCCTCCACGAGTCGGCATGAAGAAATATGTTCAATGATGATGAGGAAGCGTCTTCTGGCAGTTTCACTTTTAAAGTTTGCAACTCGAATCGTTTCGGTGCTCGCGTTTTGAGTGAATCACCATTGCAAAACAAGAACCGATAACCACGGACCGTCCGATCCTGCCCATTTCTAAAGGTATACGAAATCCATGCCAGATCTTGATAGACCTTGGAAATCCAAAAAACCGAGTCACTGCTAAATGCATGGTACGGTTCGTATTCTGGAGAATAGGACCCCGAAGCATTCACCGTTCCAGTCGAGCTTGTTTCACCGTGATGAAAAGGGATCAAGGGACGCAGCGGCCCACTAGTGCAAACATCATGCTGACTCGAAACAACACCATTCGAAACGACAACGAGCCCAAAGACCACTACTTGTATCATCAAAGTGAACATCATGACTACTATGATGAGTTATTATTAATTTTGTGCGAAGCAACAATAGCTCGAAGACTCATACCAGTACATATTCCAGTAGCCAAGGGGTACCAGGTAGCGATAGCGAGGTGGTCCCTGTAAGAAGAGAAGTGTCCGCGAACTTCTCCCTTCACAATGAACCAGTAAAATCCACGTCTGAAAGTATCCGTGACGTCATTCAAGGCTGAAATGTTTGCACTAGCTAGCTACTAGCGTTAAGGATTTACATTTATTTCTTTTCAAACCGTTGAAGTTTCGTGTGGACAAGGCACAAAAAAAAAACAATCCAACGACAGCCAGATACTCTACTAGGTAGTCTACTAGTAGAGCTAGATGATGGACCCCAAAGAAGAGTGGGTGTTATTGGTTCCACCAAAGCTTGCCAAATCTAGCTATGCTACCCTGGTAGACTCGCAGTGTGTGTTTCGACCCTGGCATTTGGAGGGAAGGTTTGGTTCGAGGACTCATCGGCATCCGCTACCGCCTCCAACCAACGATGATAATGATACTACTACTACTACTAAGAAACTCCTCTACAAGATTGGAATTCCCGTCTTATCCAAGGACCATGTGCTGCAACAGGCAAATTCGCACTCGGATCTAAAGCAACTGCTGCAAGAAGATGACGTTGAGTTTGTATGGAAAGCATTCACGCCCTCCAATCGAGCCGTTCGCGATGCTCCCTATTTTGATGCCCGTATTCACCCGGAACGAGCACCCTCAACGCCACTACCACAACAACAACCTCCCCACAGCTTTACGTACGTGGATCTGTTTGCCGGAATGGGCGGATTTGCCGTGGCACTGGATGCTCTGGGAGGTACTTGTGTCATGGCATCGGAAATTGACGAGGCTTGTCAACGACTCTACCGTCGCAACTTTCCCACGGCTCCATTGCTCGGAGATATCTATCAAATTGACAAGCTGCCAGCAAACACAAACAACACAAAAGTGGATCTATTGGTAGGTGGATTTCCCTGCCAACCCTTTAGTGCCTTGGGAGAACAACCCGGAATTGATTGCCCGAAAGCGGGAGGACTGTTTCTGGAAATTGTCCGTCTGCTGAAGATGATCCAACCAAGGGCGTTTTTATTGGAAAATGTACCGGGACTGCTCGCCATGAAAGACACGTTTGACCAAATCATACAGGCTCTCCAAGGAGCTGGTTATTCGGTCCAATATGATGTCTGCAATGCTCGTGGATTGACGGCATCCTCGCGGAAACGACTCTTCATTGTGGGATTTTTGGTATCTGAAACCAATGCCACCACCAACACAGACAGCAACGATAATACTCCCCAATCTTCATTCGAATTCCCATACGTCCCTGATCTGCAACTCAAAGCATCGGATGTGATTGATTTCACCAACCAAGAACTCTCCGACATGGAAGCGGAGTTATTGCCCATTTCGGATCAACAGCTGGATCAATTACAGCATCATTGCAAGAAATGGCGTCCGGCACACATGGCGTGGCCCAATACAACCTGCAATACACTCGTCTCGCATTATGGAAATTCCATTGCCCGCGGACATTCCCAGCTGGTTCCCGCATCGGCCGCCACCGCCAACGCCAACAATCCACGCCGATTTTCGCCGCGCGAATGTATCCGCCTCATGGGGTTTCCCGCGAGCTACCAACTACCATCCAAACCACCCCAAGATAGTGTTCAAGGAGATCGGGCATTTCTCAAGGAACACTATCGCATGGCGGGGAATGCCGTGTGTCCACCACTGATTGCCGCGTTGGCAGGAGCCGTGCTGGCGCATGGGTCGGCGCAACCGCAATCATGGGTCGACTATGGCCGACAAGTAGCCGTGGATCTGGCGTATCAAGCGACACGAACCGGCAGGCCACAGGCGAATGATGGGAAGAATGATAATGGGGGAGACGAACACAACAAGAGTGCCAAAAGACCGTTTGACGCTTTGGAATAATAAACGGCACTAACAAACGAACTCGCAGGGCGAGGAAGGGGAACTTCCTACTTTACTGGCACTGTAATTTGGGATTTACAACTGGCAAATGCTACTAAAGTCGTTCACAAACGACCAACAACTCGCTACATTATTGCAAGACTGTCATTCGATTTGATATGATTATCAAAGCAAAAGCTTCTGGATTCCGCCATGCATCTCATCTGCCAAATCGACGAGACTTGGGATGCCAAAGTTGAAAAACAAGTGCGACAACCAATGCGCCCCCATCGAAAATGGCATCCAATAACAGATATAAATATCCAGTCGCAGCGTTACGTAGGCTCCAATCATCCACAGGATATCCCATCGAAATAGTTGGCGCTTGGTGACGGCAAAACCAATGGCGGAAAAAGCATAGATGAAGCAGGCATGTTCCAACTCATCAAACTTTAAGCGACCGAGAACTTGCATACCGGGACCGACCAGTGAGACAAATAAGGGAAGGTTGCCGCCCGAGAGGATAAAGAATGAACCCATCAGATACCCATTCACGCCCAAAGCTAACCAATGATGATCTCGAAGCAGATGACCCACTGTTCCCGCTGCAAGTCCGAGACACATGAAAATATGGTGCAGAGGTGGTTCAAAACCGTGTTTTTTGAAGAGAACAATCGCCAGAAGGATAACTCCAGCTCCAGCTACCACTGTATCGAGGACATTTGCTGCACCGCTTGTATTGGAACAAAAGTCGCTGGAAGCAATTCCAAGGATTGCCGGCCGCTGGCCGCCGTCGAGTAGGGGTGTCATGGGGTGCAATAGCGACAAGAAATCGTAGACATGATGAATTATTTTTGCTGCTTCGGTAAACATCCTTGGGCTTTCGTTGGGGGCTGCTGTCAAGGTTGATGGCTTGTTTTATCGTCTTGTTCGAATCTGTCTTGTAGTTCTAGCTTTTGTTGTAGTTTTTTCAACTTGAGTATTGTGAGCTCAATCCGAGCTTTGAACTGTTTCTCTGATAGCTCGTTCATCTTGCTATCCGAACGACTTGCATTCTCACAAGTAGCTGTGTAGCTATGTCGGGACCGGTTGTCTGCCTGGGTTCGCTGCGTAAAGTCTGCTTGCATGCATTGCCTTTCCTTTTTGAGGGTTGAACCGTTCGAGGCGGTTCTCGGACGATGGCCATCAGAACGAAGGAGCTCGTTACTGCATCGACAGGGTTTGGGTGCACACAGTAATTCGACAGAGTTTGGGAGCACACAGTAATTCAATCAATGGGGCTACCGTACCGGTGGCCTCACCACAAGTCACGGAGTCACGGTAGCGAAACCGGTACCGCCTGGCACCTGGTAGCGGTAGCTGGTAGCTGTCCGGACAAGATATTGTTGTTGACCTTGGCCGGGGAATACTGGTTTGAGCCCACACTTAGTTTTTAAAAAAGTACTCAATCTGGTCTGCGCTCGTTAACTCAATGCTACTCTGCGCTCCGTTCGCTCTCTGCACCAAATTTTGAGTTTTGAGATTAGCAGTACGACGCTTCTTCCAGGCTTGATCACGGAAAAACGAAAAACCGGAACTAGCTAGCGAAGGAACACCAGGTAAACCCATGCTGGAATATTTTAAAGCATGGCCATTGCGTGCATGGAGCGATGGTTAGACGACCGAATCCATACGGGTACGTTGCCAAGTTTTGCGGGAGTGGAAATTGTTTAGCAAAAAGGTTCGGCAATGGAGTTTTCTCGCTCCAACTCTAGGCTATTGGGCACTGCAGACAATAGAATGAGAGGGTTTTGTTTGTTTGATTGATTGATGCTATAATTTTAAACTTGGAATAAAGCTGCTATTGTTGTCTGAGCATTTTGTGCCCCACAGCCGCAGAATGATCCCTTGGGTTCAAACTGACCGTCGCTGTGCCGCTGAAACCTTACATGAGAATCCCCTTCTGCTCCTGTCACGCCTGGCAGCAGAAGGGATCTCACAGGCTCACTATTGCACGGAGTTTAAATCCCAGAATGTTGGTAACAAGTGTCATTTTCACTTACTCTCGGGAACCAGTATCACCCCCACTTGGGGGGTGCCAGAACCTCAGAGTTGCGTTGGACTCCCTCCACCGAAGCCATCCCACAATCACCTCACCAGGATTTCCAACACATCTCCATCATCTTGGATGGAACAGAAAGAAGAGCAAGTCACTCAGCACCGCCACTGAGTGCTGCCTTCTCCATTGCCTACAGCTCACCACCTCGCCCAACCTCCATTGGAGTGTTGCGGATGAGTCTCTTGGCAGAATGCTACAAACCAGTCCTTTTGTGGACCATCTTGCTCCACACCTACAGCGGTGTGCCAAAAGCGAAGAGTCATGCGGTACACCTATCAGAGCCAGGGAGGCCCTGGGTGCCCAATGCATGTTGATTTGCAAAGCAGATTTATGAGCTCAGTGGGAGGTGCAGTGCGACTTGGTCTTGGCGGGAGAAACGGAAGAGGAGTCAAAGGGTTTCGAAGGGGTGGTTTCATAGGGACCGTTTCAGCTGTTGCCTCCGATCAGGAACCTTTGGATGAAATTTGACCCATCATCAAATGCCCCCTGGAAATGGACCTGTCCATGACATTGGCACGTCGTGGCTGTCCGTGTGCATCGCGCATCGCCCTCCCGAGGAAAACAGACTGGCTTACGGTACCATCCTGAGGAGGATCGACATGGAAGTGCCGAGCAATGGATGCGACTGGTTGTGTTGTTGCATTTTCCAGTACTGGTACCGATAGCTGTACCTAAGGCAGAGGGAGGGGGGAGAAAGATCGCGATCATGGTCGTATCGTCGCGTCCCGGGCCCCGTCGATTGATCGATGAGTTGAAGAATGATCAATCGAATGATTGACTCGAATCAAGTCGAACTATTCGAATCAAGTCGAACTATTCGAATCAAGTCGAAGAATCGATTTGATTCGAATGAATAGAATCGAAAATGTTTTCGAATTGTTTGTGTCGTTGGGACTGCCAAGTCCCTTGTAGTCAAGCCAGCGAGTGCATGAAAACACTGCGTTACCGTCACTAGTACCGTATGGTTCCGTACATGAGCTCTCCAAGAACGATACCGTACTAGTACCTATCCTGGTGAGCAAACTCCCGAGAGCCAATTCCAAGCTGAAAATCAAGCAGTCCAATACGGCAGTTTGCTTGAAGCTCACAGGAAGATTTGGTGATTTGTGGACGCTGTGTATGCATAGCTTTAGGATCATCCCTCGCGCTGGCACTCCGATGACTTGGCTGACGAGCGAAGACCTACCGTCCCAAGGTCAAAGCATGCATCGGTGTGTATGATACCGATGCATCTCGCTCCCAATCGAGATAACCAATGAAGAGCAAGGATCCCAGGGGAAAGCATGGATTAAACAATGCATCTTCCTTACGCCGACCTACAAATCCTCATGAGCGACTTGCCAAGCACTTTCCGGAAGCCAGCAATCGAGTTCTATAGAGTCCTCGGGAGCATTTCAATCTTACAAAGGACCGGTCAACCTTTAGAGATCTTGGAAAAATCGACTGCTCCCGTCTACTAGACTCCTGCTCCCGTCTATTGTCGTTGTGCCTTGGCAAAAGGCCCGGAGTTGCGCTCACTGTAGAAGACACAATCTGCTTTGCCAGCTGTTCCGACTTCTGTACATTAAATCCTTAACTCTGTTCAATGTCTTTGGAGGTGCCACCGCACTTGCCGCCAACACGTCAGGTTTGTTTCGCCTTTCGTCAAGAGAAGAAAACAGTGAGTGGAGAAGGACCGAAATCAACTCCGAGATGTTCTGATATCCATCCATTACCGGCAGAACACTGGGCTACTGAGCTCTCCTGACACCTACTACCGGTAGCACATCAAGGCTTGTGAGGTGTCCCTCAATTGTTCTTTGCAAACGCAGTTTTGAAAATGCAGTCCAACAACAGCTCACAAAATTTCGAACAGAGAAGCCCAAGAACGAACGCACGGAAGAGAGAATCCACCCACAAACCATATTGGAAGTTAATAAGCGCCGCCTAAAAATAAAACGATGAGAGCGATATCTGCAGTATCTGTACTTTCTCTCTTGGTTGGAGTCCAAGATGCCACAGCTTTTTCGGCCACTCCACGCCTTGGCTACCGACTCTCCAGTCGCATCTATGATACCCGACAGCAAGTGACCATGGACGATGTGCAAGAAGCAGTGGAGCTTTTGGAAGAGCAAAATGACGTGACATCCGTGCGCATTAAAAATGACATGCCAAAACTGGTAGACGCCACCAGAGAAGATCTGATCAGTGATATTCAGGAGACCATTGAACAAGCGGTGGAAGAAAACTCTATGGAACCCCTTCTTGGATTGACCAGCATGCAAGAAGCAATTGTGGGCAAACCCATGATGAGTCCATTCCATGCAAGTGTTGCCCAGCCAAAGCCGTCTACTTCTGCTGATGCTTCACCCCAACCTGCATCTCCTAGTAATACGGCCGACCGCGGTGGATTGATGGCTGACATTAGTCGCAAGTTCCGCTTTGTCGAGGAAGAAAAGAAGACAGTGGAAGAAGCTGCCGTTTCTGCCTCCTTGTACATGAACCCTGCCACGGAAAAAATTGCTCCTCATGTCAAGATTACCTGGGAACCAGAAGTGGCAGAAACATTGTTGCATTTGGAAAAGTGCAGCAACAAAAACAGACCTTTCATGGTGGGCCTTGTAGGCATTCCCGGCAGTGGCAAAAGTACCTCGGCGGATATCTTGGCAGCCGTCTTGGGAAACGAACGGGCCATTGTCATGCCCATGGATGGATTCCACGTTCCACTGGCTGACCTGGCGGAATTTCCCAACCCTTCGGATGCTATTTACCGCCGCGGAGCCCCCGATACTTTCAACCCGGATGCCCTACACAAGGATCTCACCCGCATTGCCTACGGAGATGAGAGCTCTGTGACTATCCCAGGATTTGATCACGCCGAGGGGGATCCCATTCCTGACCAACACACGTTTGATCGAGATCAGCACCGCATTGTGATCTGTGAAGGCCTTTATCTGCTACATGACGATCATGGTTGGGATAAGATCAAGTCTTTCTTTGATTGGACTATTTACATTGATGCAGATGTTGATACCTGCATTGAACGCCTGAAGATTCGTAACAAGTGCATTCCGGTATGTACTTGAAAAGTGGCTCCATTTGGTTTGGAAGCAATGCGAACAACAGGAACTAATTGATACCTCTCTTCTCTGCATTCATCAGGGCTATACCCCCGAAGAAATCGAGATTCGATGCGACGAGGTTGATCGAGTCAACGCTGAAACCTCGAGAGACGGTGCCTACAAGTATGCTTCGCAAATTGTCAAGTCGGGCGCTTCCAACTAAACAACACTAGTGTCCACACCAAACCCGTTGGCCCGACCCCGGAAGGGACAACATTGTTCTCATTCAGTCCACCCATAATCCAATTTTTCATGACACAACAACACTTCATTGATACATGCAACTAAATAACATTACCCCACAAAGAACGCAACGGAACCTTAGATAGTACTGATGTAAAAAACAGACAAAACTAACGTTCAATCTCATTCCTTCGTCACTTTGCTCCTCGTGGGTCGGAAGTGGATGGTCGAACTGTTACGGTAGTCCTGCTTGTTGGTTGTTATTCAGATAACCATGCTATTCCCAGTTTTCCTCGAGTTGCAGCATTCCGTGCACAGCAACTGGTGTGCAATGAAGTCGTTGATTTGGATCCGACAAGTTCAGTTCCGTTATCTCCTTGTGGCGGCAGGAAGAACCCAAAAGATTCTGGTGTATTCCCATCTGCTTGCTTTGATTCCTTTGATTTCTCGATGCGTGTGCTCTGTTGGGCAAATAAGCAGAGGCCCCATAAGTATGTAGCTTTAGCTCAAACCTCCTGGTCACACGATGGACGAATAGCCCGCCGAGAGTGGAGTGATGAATTCTCAACTTGAAGCAGATTGCTCCAAAGTAGTTGGTTGTCGTTGTTTTAGTTGGAAGCAATACTGTTGCATTCTTGGTTGGATTTGTTGTTAGTTTTCGATGGATTCTCATGATGTTTTGCAGTCTGTACACCATTGACAAGTATCTGTTGTCCCTGTTTCATGACAGACACAACAACATCCAACATCAACAGGGTCGGACCAACCACTGTGGCGAATATTTGGTTCCTCTTTCTGTTGGCTACTACCACTGCCCTTTGCAGTGGTAGCCTGTGGACAGTCCTTACACCATTCACAAGTATCTGCTGTTCCTGCTTCGTGACATACGCAGCAACATCCAACATCAACAGGGTCAGACCACCCACTGTTGGGAATATTTGGTTCCTCCTTCTGTTGGCTACTACCACTGCCTTTTGCAGTGGTAGCCTGTGGACAGTCCTTACACCATTCACAAGTACCTGCTGTCCCTGTTTCATGACAGACACAGCAACATCCAACATCAACAGGGTCAGACCACCCACTGTCGGGAATATTTTGTTTATCCTTCTGTTGGTTTCCCTTTGTAGTAGTGGTGGTGGTGGTAGCCTGTGGACAGTCCTCACACCATTCACAAGTATCCGTTGTGTCGGTTTCATGACAGACACAGCAACATCCGACATCGACAGGGTCGGACCAACCACTGTGGGGAATATTTGGTTCATCCTTCTGTTCCTCTGCAGTGGTAGCCTGTGGACACTCTGTACACCATTCACAAGTATCTGCTGTCCCTGTTTCATGACAGACACAGCAGCAACCCACATCAACGGGTTCGGACCAACCTGCATCTGGAATTGGCTCTTCTTGTGCGTCCTCACTAGGTGGATGAATTGGGTTAATTGTCGTGGATTCGTCTTGGGCACATGATGTGCTGTCCTTGGGCTTCTTCTTGTCATCATTATTGGATGGTTCTGACATCACTAGACGATGCTTGTCAAACGAGAGCTTCTTCCGTTGGTCGATGCATTGATAGAGCCAGGCAACATGGACGAGAGGCACCTTGTTCTTGACAGCCTTACGAACGCGTTGTGTGGCCTGTGAGACGGCAGCGGGTGTACAAAGGAGACATTCCACCTTTTTGTGCACTTGACCAGAGACTCTGGCTCCTGCGTCACGACAGGAATCCGAGACTTGGCGATAGGAATACAAGTCGCACGATTTCTTGTTCTTGTTTGTTGTTGCATCATCATCATCGTCCTCATGATTTGCCAACGTTGAAATGGCCACAGTCATGCCATTCAAGAAATCTGAGCTGGTCGTCTTTCGTCGTTTCTTCTGGCTGGAGTCATTATCTTGCCGAGAGGATCGTTTCCTGCCTTGATATTCTTCATCTTTCATGCTGTTGCCCGCTTGGATCACATAAATGAGAGCAACAGTGGCAATCCAATTCCTCTTGTGGATTTTGCTGTTTGCGAGCAGAAATAAATAAATGAGTGGTGAAGATTTGGTCACATATCCTTAAAATGAAAACGTAAGGATACTGCACCACTTTGGGTGAGGTTCACCTCCTCACATTTTCTCCTCTTCCCACACATCTTTTGTCGCAGCCACCCGTTTCTTGTCGAGCAGCCGCACGCAAAAGAGGACAACGATCCTGATCCCTATCTGTCCACGCTGCCTGGCGTGGAAACCTGAACCCTCATGGGTTCTTCACGAATGACTCGACTCACAGTTGCCAAACGTACCATCTCACAAAACACAAATCGATTCCCACACTTCGCTCCTACCATCAAGTACATCTCTACATCTCTCAGGTCATCACCTGCGTTCCTGAAATGGATACCCCACATACATGTCGCTATGTCTGCCTCCTTCGCAAGATCAGCTCTAAGGCAATAGCACCCCTCGAAGACCGCTCACAGATAGCAACCTTGAATGAACACAACATGCAAGACCGGTCCAACTCTCTCTTTCAGCCATTGAACAGTCGATCGCAAGAAGGTTGTCTCCTTCTCTGCTCACAATTCTTCCTTCAGCCGAGCTGCAAGCAAGAACTAGAATAGATTAACCTCTTGCGTCGGCATCAGGGTCTAAATCCTTATCGAAAATCTTCGAACCATGGCAGCCGCTTTATTCTCTACTCTCGTTGACCCCGGAAATCACTGGGACGCAACCGAGTTTGACTATGCCGCTTTTCTGACCCGTGTCGGACGGTAACGTTGAACCGAACAGTAACGTCACTCCAACTACCTTGTGCTCTGCAGTCACGCGGTCTCCTCTTCTCGTCGCTTTCGTTCTCAACGGTGATGAAGACTACATCCATGTCGGGCATTCTTTGTTCACATACCCCGTGACTCGAACGCGCCTCTCCTTACGACAACTCGCTGTTGTGCTCACCGGAAACGACCTTCACAGTGTCGCTCCCGTGATACTCCAAACACAAGTTTCCAACTGTCGCCGAGACACGCTGCAAGACACTGGCCATTTGTGATGGTCCCGACACGTTAGGGAGACGACCTCCACCCTTCACTCCGGT